GATTGTTAGGGCCTCAGAAAACCACAAAGAAAAATTAAGTCACTGGTGCAAGTTTTTTATGGTTTTACATGCGTGACATCATAATAGCTCATCCTGTTCGTGTAGTCATAAAATGAAAAAAAAAGGCACATTTATTCGCTCTATGGCCTAGCGTACACAAAGTCTGAACCAACCTATTATTTGACGCTATAGAAGCTTTTAAAAGAACACCAGGATATCATTCTGATAATAACATCTTCTCGCCTTTGCTTGACTGCTTTGTCCTCACTTAGTATCTCCTTTTTTTTAACACAGCGCAATAAAGAGCTTCTAATCAATGGCTTTCTTGGAGAGATGAACCATATTGTCATAGGTGTGGTACATGTTCACGAATTAGAACCTTCTGATATTTTCGCAAGAAAAAAAAACAATCAAAAGATTTCTCGCTGCGATGTTCTTCAAGCGCGTTAGCCTAGTGAATTGCATTATTCATTTCAATTGATTTCTTAGAATCAAAGAATATCCTGACATATTTTTCAGGTGGAGGACATGTTAGATGATCGATGCAAAGAAATGTAGGGTATTGGTATATTGCGACCTATTCCACTATTACGGCTGTGCTATGATCTATAGGCAAACTATGAAGGTTATTCAAAGTCAGAAGGAACCAATGGGCAGTTGGCGCACTTCCATCTTAAACGAATGTCAGCGCGACGAAAACAGAGACGGGAAACTACAGTGCCGTAGCTTGTCTTTTCTTTCCCGTCCCTGTTTTCGTCGCGGTAATGTTCGCGTAAGATGGTTATTTAAAGTGTTGGGCCCACCAACTTCACATCTAGTTGGAACAGAAATTAGTGTTGAGAGGCCACAGCTCAGATAAGTGTGAAAATACTCGGAGTACGACTGAGTATTAGGATCAATAAGGTTGATATTATTATCACTACATATAAAAATATTCTTGTTTTCATCAACTAGTATGTTTAGCAACTGCTCAAGGTCTCAACAAAACTGGATGTGACAGGATGAGGGAAGCAATAAATGCACGCATTTATAATGTTAGCTTTGGAAGGCAGCTGCAGGTTGATACTCTCGACTGCTAACCTCACTCATTCACACAATCACAAAAAAAAAGATCATGGGGACGTTTAGACCAGAGTGCTGATTTAACCGAAATGGCTTCACCACAACTACGATAAAATTCACAATGACGATAATGCCTAGTGCAACCAAAACACCTGTACAAATTATCGTCGTGTGATGATAACCAATTTTCAGATGAACATATAGAAGAAAAGGAATGATCCGAAGTGCTAAGACGAGTAATAAAACCATCATGATGCTTACCAATACTGCGTGGTTTAAATGCTGTAAGTATATTATTAAAGGCTGTTTTTTTCTTGAACAGAGATTTTGCTTCGTCAATAATTGATTGATATGTGGGGTTTAACGTCCCAAAACCACCATTTGATTATGAGAGACGCCGTAGTGGAGGGCTCCGGAAATTTCGACCACCTGGGGTTCTTTAACGTGCACCCAAATCTGAGTACACGGGCCTACAACATTTCCGCCTCCATCGGAAATGCAGCCGCCACAGCCGGGATGTGATCCCGCGACCTGCGGGTCAGCAGCCGAGTACCTTAGCCACTAGACCACCGTGGTGGGGCTGCTTCGTCAATAGAAAATAGCGAATCACCCATGGCAATTTACGCGTTAATGTAAGTACAGTGAATGAGATGTATTGAGTACTGGAAGACAGTAATCTCTCGCACTAGATAGGCGATGCACATGTATATCATCACACTTTGTGGCCTTGGTAGTATTGCTATTGGTCTACATGAATTTCTATCCTTTAGACTTTTTCAGCTCTAGCGCCTGCGCAAAACGTGGCATGTCGCTGGGCGTGAGGTGATGAGTGACAATATCTGAAAGTCGATGGTTTCTGTGAGAGCCCTAATGAAGTAGTTGGGAGCTTTGGCCTACGGGCTTTAGAAGCAAAGTGAGCTTTTTTATTGTTCGATAGCAGAACCACACTATAGTGTTTTTTCCTTGTTTTGCAGGCGCGCTGTGACTCAGCAGCAACCCAGCCTTGTCCTTTAGAGACTACACGATTGACAAACAATTTTTCTTTTCAGTCTTCCCTAAATTGTACATTATTTTGGCACGAACACTGCTCAAGATCAGCGACTTGTTGAGAAGGTACTTGTTACTCTCAAGCAGAGAATTGTTTTCACCATCAAAGTACTTCTTTTCTTGGTAAACGACGGAATTTCTTGATTTTAGAGACTAGTACAAAAATTTAACATACTGACACTTTGACGCATTTCTGCTACCTCAGAGCGGAGGTCAACTCTTTTTGCCAACTCCGAATTTATTGCCATCCGGAAAAATTATGCAGTTGAAGACACACAAAGGACTAAATTATGAAACCATTTTACAGAAGAGAACCATGATGGGATGCGAAGCAGCAGTGACGCGCACACACTTTACCCCGCGGAAACGGGCGACGACACGTGTGCTGGAAGAACAGTTTGAAGCAAAATCGGTGCAGAATTTGCTCGACTAAATGTTTATTTGAAACGCAATGACACGGGAGGTGGGTTGGGTTTTGTTTAAGTTTCATTGCAGGTAAATGAACCAAAATTGTATTTTCACTCGACGTATGGTCGAGCGGCGTGGGTGGCAGAAAGGCGGAAACGGGAGAGAAGTGTGTTGCGAGCGGGTGAAGGAGCAACACCACCTAGGTGTGCTGGGAGGAGCCGGCAGCTGCTGCGGGTGGGAGAGAGAGAGTGGTATCAACTCGCCGCTGCGACTTGACCTATTTAGCATCGTTCAAACAACTTCGGCAGTGAGAATGTGGTGTTGCGCGGTGGCACAGAGACACGGACGGACAGCGTTACACTTGCTAGTGAAAGAGCTGCTTCGCATCTAAAAATGGCAGCAGTGGGGGCGTCAGAAGCATTTGACCTATATGAACAATTCAAGGTGCTAACGTGTACAGATATACAGAGGTTAGTTAGGTACAGTTATTAAGCCATCGCGTTACTACGTTACTTGTCCAGCGGTTTTCATGCCCACGCGCTATGGGAATGTACAAGTGGCGTCTGTGCCCCTTTCGTGGCGGTTCTGACTAAGGCGTCCTTTACTGCTGTTTATTTCATGACCCACTGTGCCGTGCTGTTCTTTAGGGTCACTTTCGTTTCCATTACTCACTGCGTCATCCACAATTTAGGTTGAAACATCTTTGGAAACCTCGGATTTTTTTAATCTAAAATGTCTCCTAGGCGTTTCCCCAATGCAGAGGTGCCTTCTGTTTTTTCTAGACCGGGTAACATCTATACATTTCTATTTTCTCCTGTTCCTTCCTTATCTTACAGATTTCTCCTCCGCAGGGATCTCACAGTACGTTGGTTGCTTTAAGGTAAGTTTGAGTATGCCCCAATGTAAATTACAGCGTATAAAGAGGTAGTAGAGTGTAGAAAAGTAGAATAGTAGGGTAGTAGATTATAAAAAACAACAACGGCATTCTCCCCCACCAAGTAAGAATTTTGTGGAAAGCAGATGCGGGCATATCTGTAATGGCTTTTTGTGGCTTTGAATCAACCTTCACCAGCTGGATTGGTGTGTTTTTGTAAGTGTAGCAGTTGCGTGCTCATCATGGGCTTACCAGGAACAGAGGCTGCCATGGCATGGAAAAAATAACCGATAGCCTTACCTTACGTAAGCACTCACGTTAGAACAGGGATGAGAGATGTTAGCACTATCGCAAGAAAACATGTTTTACTGTGCAGTTAGGGGAATACCGTACGCAAGTTTCCTTAGCATATAGTTTTGGGCTCGAGCAGCGTTTTATTATAAATTATAACAACAGGAATGTAATGTTTATTAGACTGCTATGAATGGGGAGCCTACCCTGAAGCCACAATTAGCGTTAACTCAACATCATCGCCTGAATGATGTTAGCACAAATGTAATGTGTATTGCTCTATTAGGCATTTAGATAGCCAACACTGAAACCGCAATTGATGCTGCACCCACATTACGCATTGTGAGGATTTTTTTAGGGTACTTTATTGGCCTGTCATGGTTCTGGGGAAGAAAACCCGAGTTCTACAAAAAATGCTTGCGATCGATTCCTCATGAGATCCTAACGTTTATTTGTTGCGTTCGTCACGTTAACGCGGCCTATGCCAGCTGTATTGCTGTCGCACTTCAACTATTACTGTATGTCCCCGGCGTTCATGATAAAGTGTCAATATCTCGTTGCGCATGCCGCATGTAATGTGGCCTGCGGTATACAGAAGTGTGCCACACGCGTTTGAAGGAAAAGGTTTGAGAACCTGCCGACAGGAATCTTACGTTATTTATTTCATGACCAGGCTACTCCATTTCTAAAGAGAGACGACGCTTGGGGGCCAGTCGAAGCAAACGTGCTTCGCATGAGCTCCCGCCTCGACGCCTCATCTCACCCGGAAAACCTCATTGCTGCCACCCATGAAGTACTGGACCGTTTTCTAGTAATCAAGTGCAGTCGGTGGATAACCGGTTTTTAACTGTAAGTCCATCTTTCTTGGAAGTCTGCTTGTTTGAAGATCCAAGGCGAAGAACGCAGCTCTAAGCCTAAGCGGCGTCAGGCCGTTGGCCCGACGAAACGCTACTCCGTTTCCACGCAACGCACGAGAATGGCTGACGACGACGCGGCTGCGTCAACCGGAGCCACGACATCGATCGAAGAAAAAACCCAAGGCGGAGAAAATGCTACCAGCGTCTCGCAAAAGAAGCCTTTTGACAACGGGGGATGGTTCACTGCAACGTACCACAACTCAAGGCTGATCGCCGTTCCGGAGACCGGGGCCGAAGCGGTAGACAAATCAGCGTCGAGCCAACCTAAACAAAAAGGGACTCCTCTTCGAAAAGAGAAACTGCCTCCACTGCCGAAAACCGACTTCAAAGTCATCATTAGACCAAGGGATGAGCTCAAAATCAGTCAATTAATCACGCATCAGATGGCGCGCGCTATAACTATGGCATGTGGTAACCCGGACATCTGCAACAAAGGCAACCTGCTTATACGGTTGCGCAATGGATCCAACATCGCCATAATCAGCACGCCAAGCATGGAGACCACCAAAATTGTGCAAAGCCTTCGAAGTCTACGTTTTGGTGCAAAAGACTATGCAGTGATGGCTTACGTAGCCGCGCCGGACAACTCGTGCAAGGGTGCGATTCACGGACTGGGCGCCGGAACCACGCCAACCGAATTACTAGCCCATCTTCGGGTGCGTACCCAAGGAGTGAAAACACTTTACGCAAGAATGCTTGGAAAATCCCAAAGTGCCGTCATTACCTTCGAGGGAAAGATCGTCCCGCGCTATGTTTACTACTACGGTGGTGAAACACGATGCTACCTCTATCGATCATCGCGGCAAGTTTGCTATATATGCTTCAAGCCTGGGCATAGGGCAGACGTATGCCCAACGCTGTTGTCTGCTCAAATTGCACCGAGCCAGTCATAGAGGACGGCACACCTGTGAGCCCCGGTGCGCACTATGCAAGAAAGCGCACCCTATGTGGGCAAAGGAGTGCAAGGAACGCCTCAGGAGACCGAGAAGCCCACGACCAAGAACAAAAGAGCGGATGGCCGCCGGAGCACAAGACGCCAATGGACACGGCTGGGCCCGGAAACATTGGTTCAGCAGGGATGGAAGCTCACCATCTAGGTCCCGATCAGTATCGAAACCACGGTCATGGTCGAGATCGGCGTCCAGGACCCGCAAGGCTCCAGAAAACAAGAAAAAGCAGCAGAAGAAACCCTCCACCAGGAAGGAAGACGGTGGTATGGTGAGCAGGAAAGCGCCTTTTTTCTCTGCCTCTCCCACTGCTCCAAACAACACGAATACACAGAGAGTAATAGTCGGCAAGAATGGCAGTGCGCCACCTAACGATGATGTAAAAGATTTAAGGCAGACTATTCAGACACTCAGGGCAGAAAATGCCAAACTCCGGCAGAAACTAAACGATCTCATAGATGAACTGAAGGCCCTGAAAACAGGACAGACCAATACTAACCCCCAATCAGACTTAACGATGACAGCCACTGTAGGGCGCCAGGAATTCACTACCATGGCTGCCATAAAAAATGCCCTAGCAAATCTTGGCAACTTCATCTCTAATATCTAAGATGAGGCGCGCAAGGATAGAGAACGTCTAGTGCAACTCACGGCCATGAAATCCAGAGGCAAACCCTACGCTCGGCCATCACCTGAGTATGGCGAACAGCCGTAAATGCTCGGTGAAGTTGGAAACCCTCGAAATATTGCAGTGGAACTGTCGTGGAATCCGTCGAAAGCAAGTTCTTCTGAATCAATACATCAATAAATGCACAACTCCACCAGACATCATCGCCCTCCAGGAAAGCAGCTGCTCACCGAAACTCACTGGATTTTCGGTTTATGAGGGTCTTGGCCAAAGTAAGGGCGCTACTTTGGTTGCCAAAGCGGTCACCGCAATTAGACATGACATCAACGCAACAGACATTGACCACGTTCCCATTGAAATCATAACGAAACAAAAACCGACGAAAGCATATTTCTCCTCAATATCTACAGCCCACCAAGCCAGCGGAAAGCCAACTTCAGCTTCATTCTGCGCAAAGCAGAACAAGCAGCAGGCAAAAAGGGTCTTGTCATCCTGGGAGACTTTAATGCGTGGCACAAGAGCTGGGGATATGTCAAGGAAACTCAGAAAGGCAGGGATTTGGCCAGAGAAGCTGATCGCAGAAGGCTAAGCCTCATTACAGACCACACTCAACCAACGCGAGTGGGGAATAGTATCAACCGAGATACGTGCCCGGACTTGACGTTCGTTAAAGGTGTTTGGGAGGCCCGATGGAAAAACGGCGGGGAAACGCTTGGCAGTGACCACTGCATTTTGCGTCCCTCCCGGTTAAGAAACGACATGGCCTGGCTCGACTTACAGACTGGGAAGCTTTTAGAAAAACTAGGGCAGAATTCGAGGATAAAGAAATTGCGGACATTGAGAGTTGGGTCTCGGGAATCAAGGCAAACTGGAAACGATTAACCCGAGAAGTTACCCTATCTACAAACACGCCCGAGGTGGACAAGCATCTCCTACACCTCTGGGACGCCCGCCGGGGCCTATTAAGAAGATAGAAGCGGCAGAAACACAACCGCAAACTGAGACTTAGGATCGCCGCAGTCACCAGGGAAGCCGAAGAGTATGCGACGGAGCTGTCAAAGCGCAACTGGGACCAAAAATGCAACGAGCTACAAGGTACACTAGGTTGGAAAAGGACATGGGCCTTGCTGAGGGCCCTCATAGACCCAACCAAGACCAAGACTGAAACCTGTAAGACGACTCAAAAGATTGCACACCAATTCGAAGGTACAGACCGGGAACTGCTAGAACACATAAAGCTGCGCTATATTGGCGATACAAAGAATACTGACTGCAACCTGGCATACACTGGTGCAGCTAATCCCGCTCTGGACGAACCCATTACCACAGAAGAAGTTCGATATGCTATGCTCTCGGCAACAAAGAACACTACGCCAGGAAAGGATGGCATCAGCAACGCTATGATACGGAACCTCGATGACAAATCTATCACAAGGTTTACAGAATTCACCAACAAACATTGGGAGAAGGGTACCGTTCCAAACGACTGGAAACATGCGGAAATAATAATGATTCCAAAGTCTGGAAAGGCTCCAAGCTTGAAAAAGTTAAGACCCATTTCATTGACTTCGTGTTTGGTAAAAGTATACGAGAGAATCGTGCTTCAGAGACTAGAGACCTACCTGGAAGACAACGAACTCATGCCGCACACCATTTTTGGCTTTCGAAAATGCCTCTCAACACAAAACGTCCTCCTACAAATCAAGGAAGAGGTGCTTACCGATGTCCCAAAATATGGCGAAAACGTACTACTAGCACTGGATCTTAAGGCTGCTTTCGACAATGTCAGTCATAAGGCTGTGCTAGAGGGGCTTAGCAAATTAGGCTGTGGAAAGCGAATACACAAGTACATCAAAGCTTTTTTCAGTAATAGAACCGCCACAATTGGTATAGGAGGCATCCGCACTGATACGTTTGATACGCCCACAAAAGGAATACCCCAAGGTTCTGTGATATCGCCGATGCTGTTTAACATCGTTATGATCGGCTTAGCTCGGAACCTCGAAAACATTGAAGGACTCAGACATGCCATCTACGCAGTTGATGTTACAATCTGGGTGACAAGAGGATCTATAGGCCAAAAACAAGATCTTCTGCAACGCGCAGCTGATACAGTTCACGACTACGTGCGTCAATGTGGCCTCGTTTGCTCTCCGGAGAAATCAGAAGTTCTGAGAGTCTACAGACGAGGATACGATCTGCAAAATTCTATAGACGTCTATAGGAGGGAAGAAGATTCCAGAAGTGTCCCGAATCAAGATTCTCGGCATGTGGATACAAAGCAACTGTCGTATAGACCACACCATCAGACAGCTGTCAAACACTACAGCGCAAATCGCGAGGATGATCACCAGAATCTCTAACAAAAGACGGGGTATGAAGGAGGAGGACACTTGTAAGCTTGTACAGGCCCTCGTGGTCAGTAGGATTGTATACAGTGTCCCCTACCAAACACCACTCCCACAGGAAAAAGAACAATTAGATGCAATCCTCAGAAAAACCTACAAGTGCGCCCTTGGTCTACCTGTCAGCACCTCGACAGAGAAATTGCTTAAACTCGGGATAAACAACACAGTGCAAGAACACATCGAGGCGCATCTTGTTGCGCAGAAAATGAGATTAATGTTGACTGCTACGGGCAGGCATACGTTGCAGACTTTGAGCATGAGGGATGCTTGCGGAGAAATCAATAACACGGCGAGCATACCAAAGGACATTCGCCAGATCATTGAAGTCAGCCCAATACCTCGAAACATGCATCCAGAAATCCATAAGGCTCGAAAAAAAGCCAGATTAGAAGCACAAAAAAATTTCAAGGCGACAACCGACGTATTGTACGTTGACGCGACCACATACAGAGAGCACTCCGGGACAGTTGTAAGCGTTGTTGATCACCAACTTAGGGAAGTCAACAGTGCTTCGATCAAAAGCAACAGCATCCTCGAGGCTGAGGAAGTAGTGATCGCGCTTGCCATCCCACACCAGAGCGAAGAGTCTACTACAGAAATAGTTACTCACTCGCAAGAAGTGTGTCCACGGTGCAGCAGTGGACGCATATCCAGTGCTGCCATCCGCATACTCAAGGGAAGAAAAATCAACTTCTCGAGCTGCTCCATTACGTAGACACCAGGCCATGAAACTGTGACAGGGAATCAGCGTGCCGACGCCATTGCCCGAGAATACGCCGAACGGGGGGCGCACAACGACGAGGAACCAGCCACAGTTACTAGACGCTATGGAGCAATTTTAGAACACCAGAGAGCGCTGAGGAGGATATACCCCCCTCCCCACAAAGACCTCAACAGAGAACAGTCGGTTGCCTGGAGACAGCTGCAGACTAATACGTACCCCAATCTCAGTCTTCTGAGTAAAATCTATCCGGGAATATACACCAACAAATGCCCGCTATGCAGAGAACATCCCACACTTTACCACGCGACATGGGCCTGCCAACACACACAGGTAGTGCCAAGAAACTGTACACCAACACCGGAGCAGTGGGAGGCTGCGCTGTCCTGCTCTAAGCCTGAAGAACAGCTCCAGCTAATTGACAGAGCTTGCAAGATGGCAAAGGCCACAGGGGCCCTGGACGGAGGGCTCCACCTTCACTGGAAAAAAGCTATTTGTAATAAAGTTTTGCATTCCATTCCTTTTCTAAACGCCTATTTGACTTCTGTTCCAATATCGATGGGCACCAAATGAAACGCACCGTGACGCCCATTTTTCTATCATGATTTGTGTATAAGGCCTAACTTTCGACTATTCACAAATAACCTGGTGAATTTGTAGCGGATTTTGTCCACCACTCAAATTATTGAATATTTTGACAAACGAGCGAGTGGCTGGTGAGCCGGGGAACAATAGCGCACTCGCGAGCCATGCCATATCAAGCGTTGCGAGCGTCTGCATGCCAGCGACCAATTTTGTTTCTTCATTACCAGCGCGTGCAGGTCAGATACTTAAGCTTCGAGGTGATTGGCACTGAAACACAGCGATTTTTAGCGGCTGAAACTGTTGTGATAGACGATGGCACCTCTGTTTGCTGCACGATTGAGCCATTGGTGCCATGGGAAAATAGCGGTGATTGGTGGCGGGAAGGACTTACAGTCGGTGACTATTTCAGCCTGCTTTGCACTAAAATATTTTTATGGCCAACTTTTCATATTTGTATAGGCATAACAGACCATCTACTTCTAGTTTGCGCTGAAAACTACAAATTTTTGTTGACCGTGTCACGAGAGCACCAGGGCGTATGTGCATATATATATATATATATATATATATATATAGTCGTTGCCGCACAGCATATATATATATATATATATATATATATATATATATATATATATATATATATATATATATATATATATATATATATATATATATTTACTGTCGCCTTGATTGAGTTACTGCATCAATACCAAAAATAGTCCTGTTCTTTGTGTCTCGAAAATGTAAACAAATATTAAGGGCAACGTACTCTGAAAAAAAGGAGCATGCTTGAAAGCAGAGATCACATTTCAACCTAAGTTTACAGTAAAAACATTTTAAATATTTTTCAAAGATTCTGAAATTGTAAATTGCCTCTTAGAGGGTGTAACAGTGCGGTATTGTTACTGCATTAGTTAATAGATTTGTTTAGTTGCACGTTTAGTTACGGTATTTCACAGGGAACTGCTTGAGTCTACCGTGATACTGTGGCGTCTTCAGCATATCACATGCGTTTCCAGAACGACGACTTAGGGAGGTTGCTTATGTATATAGTACATTGCAGGGGATGGAAAGTGGATATCTGTAGATCACCTTAATAAGTAGCTCTTAAAAAATTAGAAACCACAGTGATGATGCCATATGTGTCAACCATACTCAACAGAATGAAATGATATGCACGTGGAACGCTTCAGCTAAATCCAAAAAAAAAACTATAAACTTCGGAGTTTACTACTTTGAAGGAATTGTCTGGTTCAATCAGCCAAAAGAGATAAGGCATTGTTAGTGGAGCTTCCATCAAAAAAGTTAAACTGAGAACGCTTTGTGATTTTTACTTTGAACAGGTAATATTAATTCAGAAACATTTATTCGTGCTGAACGACAGCGTAGCTCCGCTGCAGAATGTGCACAAATCGGGAACAAAGCAGGAGGTACATAATATAAAATGACACAGGTTTGTCGTTACTGCTGAACTAATAAAATCCTTGAAATGGATGCGAAAGGATGCACACGTCAATTGTTAGCAACTGCCAATGGGCTGTGAAAATTGTGCTGGAGGACAGATATGAGTAGCACTGCAATAATTCTGAACAGTAACGCAAAGCCCGTATCATGTTAAGAATTTTACTACAAGCAAATTTGCTGCTAGCATAACGAGCTAATAAAAACAAATATACAAAATATATAAAATACATACACCAGGGCTTGTTTGTCTCGCACCTAGGCTCCCAGATTATCAATGACACACTCTTGTACTTTTGTACTGGACTGCCAAAGCGTGTATCTACTCCGCCAAGCTAACAATGCAAGCAGCAGCTCTTAGACTTTATTATGCAAGAAAGCGCATGTTGACGTCACTGCAGCTTACAAAAGCCACTGTATCATTTTTGGAAGCGAAGAAGATCAGCGCAACAGGAGTATACTCTTCTTTCGCTGATTGTTGTTTTTAGAAATGTCTTCTCCAGTACTGTCTGTGAAGATCAACGCACTGTGGGAATCGTCCCGCTGTGGTGTTTCCAGATTGCACAGATTTCCGTCCTCAACAAAAAATGACCAGCTCCACCGCCTCTCGACAATTGCAGTCAACAAGACAAATGAAACCATTGGCTTCAGCAAAGACTAAATGCAATAAGAGATCACCTCAAAGAGCGACTCTTGCCGATTTCTCACGCCAAATTGGTAATTCTTCTGTGCGCGAGACAGTGAAAAACCTGAAACTTTTTGTGAATGGCCAGAAAATCGATCTCACATGAAAGCATCACGTCTTCGTTGTCATCTTAGACAGCCAACTAAGATGGAGCAAGCATATTACCGATCTAGAAAATCAAGTTAACTGCGCCATAAATGTTATATGGTCGCATAGCGGGAACACAATGGGGCGGTACATCAGCCTCTCTTCACCACGTTTAATGTGCGCTTATCAGACAGATGATTGCCTTCTCCACGCGAGTTATCTACAACATCTCTCAGACGTCTGTACGCCGATTTCAGCTGTTACAAGCACGAAGATTACGCATATGTCTAGGGGTTCCAGAGGTTACATCAAGTTATCTAACACTGGCAGATGCAAGGGAACCCAACTTTATACTAATTCAAAATATGGAAACCTGTTTGCACTTCTTTCACCTAGTTGCGCAACACCCTTCACATCCGCTCATATCAAACATCATGAACCGTGCCGGAGTGGAAATACACCATGTGTACTAACCATTCATTTCCCGGCTTCCCGTGTCGACACATTGGCCAATGGATCTAAACTACCCGCCATGACTGCTTCAGCTACCAACTATTGAAACATAAGTCGTTGCCGCACAGCAGTTGGCATTACATCCTCTGTTTGACAGGTACAAAGGCTACACTCACGTTTACACTGATGGCTCCATCGCTAAAGAAGCAGTGGCATAACCATTTATAAATCCGGAATGCGTGAAGAATATGCATGTCGTTTAGGCCATCTCTCCTCTTCAATAACGTTGGAGGTCATATAGATTTTTCTAGCCATAAGCTTTATTAAACTGTCAACCACACCAAAGAAATAGGTGATAATTACAGACTCTCTGGCGGCACTGGCATGTGTGGAAAATACCATTTCAAGACACATTGATGTGCGTACAGGGTCCGCTATAGTAAAAGAGCTTTTAGAAGAGACGACGTCCTCTCATCGAGTCGCTTTTAATGGGTTCCCAGTCACTGCGAAATCAAGGAAATTGAAATGGCAGATCAGTTTGCGAAAGCCGCTCATCATTCTACGCGAACCAGCCTTATTCCTGTATGTGAATATTATATCAATAGGATATCAGGAAGAATGAAACGTGAATTATGCTTGTCTACCTGGTTCACAGAAAAAACTAAGAAATCAATCCTATATGCTGTTTATCCTAATCTTGAGTATTAGACTGCCATATCCCAAGGCGTTTCGACGCTCCCATACATCGCCTAATACTCGGAACTGCTTACACAAAGCACTACCTGCTTCTTATTCAGCATGCAACATCGTCCGCATGTTCATGTGGCCACGACGGCGAGGATTTCTATCACCTCTTGCTCGACTGTCCCAAACACGACACACACCGAAGGCGACTCGAACAAGAAGAGCATACGCCAAATCCCAAGTGACCATTTGCGTTGAATAAAATACTAGACCCATGGCCATCTAAAAAAAGGGCAAAGCATTGAAAAGGCTGCAACGCTTTTTCGAAGAAACAAATATTTTTGACCACTACTGAGAGAACTATAGGTAAAAAAGGGCGTGATGGCTACGTGTTCTGCCCATATGAGAACATTTCCACTCACCTATGTAGGCTGAAAATATGTATATAAACTATCTTTTTTTCTATTCTTAATTTGCAACAATCAAGTGGGAAGGAGTAACCGTCACCAAGTAACGGTGACAACAACTCTTCGTTTATTTTATATTGAAATAAAATGGACCCAAGTGACATTGTACGAGTATCAAAATTTACTTCGTGTGTTGGAGCTTAACATCAGCTATTTTTCTTTACAGCAGTAATTTGCAAGCAGTATGCCGGTAGAACGCGGCATCAATTTGTTGCCGTACTCTTTAGCAGGCCGCATGCCAATGTTAGGAGACATTTCGACACAGGCTTACATGCACGCACGCGCACATTTCTTACTAATTTCAAGTAGCGCTAATGCGAGAAGATATATTACGTCCACATTTGTGAACTTGAGTGCTTGTAAGTTTGTCGTGATCAGCCAAAGATTCAGTTAATAGGCATCGCAGTCTCACATGCAACTGCTTAGGAAATTATTGTGAATTGTATTTGTGAATGGGTTTTATTGGCTGCCAAAAGAGAAGGAATATGTGAGCTAAGCTGAAGAGGCCACAAAATTCATAATTTGCGCACATTCACAATTAGATACACGTGTTCATATTGCATTTAGCCTAAAAGGTACATAGAAACAAAAGAACCATTATCGGCAAGCCATTGTACACAAGTTGCGCTGCAATTAGCTCCGGCGGCCGCCATTCACGTTTAATCGATGATGGAAATTGTTGTGTGTTGGGGCATTGCTATAAGGGAAGAAACCAGAATAGAGAACAAGCTTGCTCGGGAATGCCCAATATTGTAAGCCGAAAACTGCGCCATGGTTTTAGCGACAATAACTTACTCTTCACTTAAACACCGTGCCACAGATTTGGGCTGCGTGGAGCGTTCTAAGTCTCAGGAGAGAGAAATGCATCATAGCGAAATTGAGTTTTGCTAATGTAAGCCCCTAAGGTAGAATAATAATGGAAATAACATACCAAACGTTATGAAACACACTTACCCTGCACTGCAAATAGAATCAACACTGCCCAAACGGAAACCCAGCGCATGTTATTGGCGCGTTCTTTCGTTAAAGCTTCT